CCCAGCCCCCCACCCCCACCCCAAGGCAAACAGCAGTTGGGATCCTTACCCCAATAGACTTTCTTCATAAGTGGATCATTTTTTTTTCCTGAAAATCATGTTTCCTCTACCTGCTCCTAGTATTTTCTTGTAATTGCCATAGCTGAGAACATACAATTTAAGGCTAAGATTTAGCAGAAATTTATGTAGAGTGAATATTTTCTTTTTGTCAAATCTTAGATTTTCTTACTCTGTTTCATGAAGAGGGAACTTTGGAGATAACTCTATGCTATGACTGTTTATTGATTTCTAATTTGCCATATCTGCCTCCTGATTGCTAAGCTGTACAAGAATGTCTGAAAGAATTGTATGCCATATTAGTACCCCATGTTACGTTGCATGAACAAATGCTGTATAGAGATCCTGTGTGATTTTTATGAAGCTCTTTTGTACAAAATTTTTTATTTTGATAATAAAAGTTTTGGCTTGAGTTTCTGCCTCTTAAATATTTTAATTTAATGCAGGGTGACTTACTTGCAGATTGTTAGCCGCTCTTGTGTTATGCTAGCTTGGTTAGTGTTAACATCAAAGGATGTTTTAAAAATGTATATACATTGCCATCTAACCTTCACTGCTTTCAGTTTTCTTTGAGCCATTCCATGAAGAGAAATCTTCTTAATTATTTCAAATGGGTTCTGGACTGTTCCTTTTCTCCTTCCTAAAGATGTAGCTTCTCTTATGACTGATCTGCAAGGCTTATAATTCACAGGGTGAGAACTTGATAAAATATGGCTTTGTTTATAGTAGCAGAAGATGTCATATTAAATTTCAAGGTGGGGGGTGCTGTCTTAACAAATCTATTGTTGGACAGTTTAAGTGTATAAATGTAACTGCAGCACTTTAGGATTTAAGTGATAACAAATCTAACAAATATGTAAGGATATGAGCATAATACTGAAAAGAGTTGTATACTACTGATTATATTACAGTTAAAAGAGTCTGCTTTTTCATGGGAATGAATGGTATGGGGCTCTGTATAGTAGATGTGAATGAAAAGAACTGAAATAAATAAGGATGTTGGTTATACTAGCTACTTTTTTATTAAATTCTATTCTCAAAGCTTGTAATACTGATTTTTGTCATCATATTGCTATTAGCACTTGCCTAACTGCCAATTTGTGTGTGCGCGCGCGCGTGCTTGCGTGTGTACACACACACACACACAACACCCCCCCCAGTTTTAAAACCATATTGTAAGTCATAGTGTGCTAGCTTTAATCACATGAATAACCTTTACACTCAAATACTCCTACTAGAATACACCTGGGGGTAAACCTTGCAGCCACTCTTATATCAGTAAATATACCTATTGCAAATGTTTCTTATGTCAGTAACACAGTTTGTTCTTGTTACTTTTTTAAAGTGGCATCTGCAGTGGAATGTCTGCAGCCATCCAGGTATCTGATGGTGTAAAGGCTCTTATTAATAAAAGTCCATGCTAAGCAAATTTACGTTCATCACATACATCACGCATTCAGCAACAAAGTAACACCTGCCAGAACCCATTTTACTGACCTAAGTTTTTTAGATGGAATGCCCATATGTCAGTGTCACTTACTAGTTTTTGTTTTATAAACTGGGCACTTGTATGTGTTTCTTGTCTCTTGTCTGTCACTGGGGATGGCTCTGACAAACATAACTGCTTTTGGATGAGCTTCAGTTAAGTGTCCCCCCAGGAACATCCCAGCAAGCTCTTGTAAATGTTTAAAAAAGGGTGAGGGATGCTTTCTGGCTTGAGAACAGAATTTGAAGATAGGTAAGTTTATTTTGAAAACAATCCTCAAGTTGAATGTACAACCTGCTGAAGCGACAGTACAAATAGAGTATCTTCCATTTTTATTTAGCTGTTGACAATATTCCCATCTTGCAGCAGGCAATAAGACACACTGCCGTTTCTAGTGGTATTTAAGTGCTCTTACTGTAATCTTGCTTGATATGTATATGTGTGTATATATATATATATATATATTTTTACCTTCCATATAGCTTATTAGCTGAATTTAGCAGTGGGGAAAAAATTACACTTCCTATTGCTCTTGCTTTTTTGGTGATGTGAATACCAGTGATAACACTGAATCACCAGGCAAAAAATGCTTTGGAAAAATGCCAAAGCCAAGATCTCCTCTTGAACTCTGCTTAATCTGCATCCTATTTAAATGGAAACTTCCACATTGGAAGAAAAATAATTGCTTAGCCAGTGTTCTCTTTTGTGTCCCTTTTGAAACTAAGGAAAGGAATGCATGTGTATCCTTCCCCTATCCCTACCAGATCAATGCCTGCTATGGCATTTGTCTGTAATGAAGACTTAATCTAGTGAGGACTTCTAATATTGTGGGGTCTCTTGGCCCCAACATCATTTTTATGGAAATGATTGCAATATACTATTTCAGCATTATGTGCAAAGCATAGAGGTGAGTTGTAAGAGACCAAGATTCTTGGTACAACCCCACCGTGTTAACTAATAACTAATTAGCCATGTGGTGGTTATGGGGGCGGGGGCTGGAGGGGAAGGGGGTAGACTTTCATTATGAATTTAACACTGCAACTACAAATTTAGAGGCCTTTCCAGCTGAAAAGAATTGAGGTTGCTCTCCTGGGCCAAGATGCTTAAGTTTTTAGGGTATGGGGTTTTTTTAGGATGTTTGAATGTGACCAGGCTGGATCTAGCTCTTAAGCTCTAAATAGGCAAGGAAATGGTGCCTCTTTTTCCCCTACTCAAATATCCAATAGCTGCCTGATTCAGATCAGCCACTCAATTCCTAATCTACCTTTTAACAAAGTGCGCTAATCTCATTACTACTGTTGGCTGTACCATTTTGCATAAAGAACTGCAAAGTCAATACAGCAGGAACTTGAACCTCAGTTTCCCACACTCTCTGTATAGGCTCTTAACACTGGCCATCTCACAGCCATAAAGATATGAATTCAGCATATGTGGAACAGCTCCACCAGGAAGGGTTGAAAGAGCCATAGGGAAAAAACTACCCACACCAGAGCATACCTATGGGCTTGAACCCTGCTAGTATACACCTATCTTAACAAGCAGAGGTTTCAGGGTCCTACTACTGCTTTCTCTTAAGATGAGAGTCATGTAGTGTTCCGATAGAAATGTACACTAAAAAAAGTTCAATGGGTAAGTGGCCCTTAGGCTGATCCCTAAAGAGGAGGATAGTAGAAAGGCTTCAGGTTTTAATAGAAAGTCTTTAGGCCTTCCCATCCTTTAAATGGGAGTTAGCACTGACCTCTCTCACAGCTGTTGAAAATAAATATATTAAAAGACTGAGGTGTTCAGATGTTACAGAAAGACAGTTGTATAGTTTTATTTATGGTACATATTTTAAGGGATCATTTATCTGTATAGCTCTGTAGATTTAGCTCTCTATAAAATCAGTTTTAGCCAAACACACTTTACTAGGCTGGTGAAGGAAGGTAATTTGGTGAAAGTCCATGGCCTGTATTTATACCTAGCCTAGGTGATCTAGAGATCAGGTGCAGCTTTAAAAAAAATGCAACTACATGCTTGTACTTTTTCTAGTGAGATTGATAATAAGTTGTAACAGGGGCTTGGGAACAGAAATAGCTGCAGAGTTAAAGATCTCTTAAAAAATTCTAACACCCTGCTAAGATTTCATATTTATTACATATGTTTATTGAGACTAAAACTTACCTGCACTTTACCTTGGCCCCTTTACTCCATGCCAACCACAACCAGAAGTTATGCCTATATTGTTCTACTTGTGTTCCAAGTATGGGGGGGGGTGTACACACACCCCTTCTCTAGCAACTTGAGTAAACTCTTTGGTCTTTTTTGTGCTATCCACTGTTAACTGTATATCTAAAGGCCATTAGTTCTTACTGGGTATGCTCTGCATCAGAGCCAAAACAAGATTTTTGAACTGCATTACACTGCAGGCAGTATAGGAGTTTTTCTTCCTACCACATCTACCATTCTTTTGAAATCATCCATCATGCCAGTTTTCCTTCGAGGAAGATAGAAAGCATTTCTCAGTGTCAGCTTTCAACTGTAAGTATGAGGGGAAAAGCCAAAAACAGTGGCCAAGCTTCTATCAGGCCTGGGTGACACTTGTTCCTTAAGCCTGATCACAATTCAACCTTCTTTTTCCTATTGCAGAGATCAGGTAATACTTATAGGTGGTCAAACTGCAAACTAAAAACTAGATCTGTGTAGGAGCTAAGTCATTTTTACGTGACGTTCCATCTGTTCAAAAGTCCAGCCTAGGAACCTGGAAGAGAGGCCAAGACTACGCTATTAGGTAGCACTTTGTGCAGGAGTGTGCATGTGTTTACACTGAGGCATTGGAAACCTAACGGATAGGTCACAGCAAACTTCAGAATATCTTGAGTGGCATTATGGGAAAATAAAACTCACAAGTGTTCAATACACGTGCCATCCGTTGCTCATTAGCCAACTCTGCCTTATGGAACATCAAATGATTCTCTCCACTGTCAAATATTTCCTGAAATTATACTTGTCCTGGACACTTCTTGTCACCTATTCAGCTAAAACAGAGTGGAGTGGGAGATGCTAGTGACTGGTGAGCCACCATTTTTTTTAGATCTTCTGTGCGGTACAGAGCAGTCCCCCTCTCTCACACAGATCAATTCCACTGAGTCAGGTTTCCATCCCATTTTACCTATAAATGTAATCCAGTGTACTGCTGTGGCTTACAACAGCATTACTCCAGATACATCTGTGTCTGTGATGTATTGAGCATTAGAAGCATTGGGTAAAATGCAGAAACAGCTTTGGGAATCAGCACCCAGGGTTCCCTCTTCAGCAGCAGTGTCCACACCTCCTTGGCCCATAGTGTT